CTGAATCATGTATTTGTCCTGCCACATGAATCATGTAATCCTGCCCAAAAAAAATATATAAATAAAGAAATTGGATAATTTTTTTTATTAGGGAAAACACAACATATACAAACCCTGTTGACTTGAACGCTGATGTATGGATCATGTATCTTTCCTGCCATATGATTCATGATATAGGCTAATTATTTTTTTGCTCCCTGTTTATATGTGACCTATGTTTAGTGTTTGCCTAAATTGTCCAATTCTGCCTCTCTTTAGTTTAACCTTAGAAGGTTAATAGTATAGAGAAATGCAAGGTTATAAAAAGTGTAGCTGGGGGTGAGTGGATGTAAATTAATTACCAAAACCTTAATCCAACAAAAAGGTTGCATCCTTTTTCGTGGATAAGTTATGGGCACACAAATATTTATTAAGGTCATATAAAAATATTGTAAGTTTATTTAATTTAAGGTTAAAACCTTATTTTGATCATTGAACTATTTTACGGACCCTCAATTTGGTCCTTAAACTAAAAAAATCTTTGATTTAGTCCCATACTATTTACCATTTTAACTCCAATTTGGTCCTTCCGTTAATATTTTCATGTTAATTGACAGAAGAAACAAAAAAATTGACAGGTTGGCAAAAGTAAATGACAGGTTGGCAAAAGTAAATGACATTGCATTTCAACTCACCCCACCCAAAAAAAAAAAAATCTCTTTTTTATTTTTTTTTCTTTTTTCGTTTCTCCCTTTCCCCTTTCCCTTTCCTTTTCTTCAACTTCTGCAAATCCTAACTTCTCAACCAATCTATTCTCCTCAACCAATCTCTTACCTTTCTAATTTATTTATCATCATCAAACAACAAAACCCACAAACAAAAAAAAGAAAAATTTTCTAATTTTTTCGAACCCAACACCTGAATTCTTTCTAGCCCTCAACTGGGTATCCAGGTGTTGGGTTCGATCTATTCATCTAAACCAATCTCTTTTTTTTTTTTTCATTAGTCATCTCAACCAATCTCTTACCTGGTTAGTTTCATCATCATCATCAAACAAAACCCACAAACAAAAAAAAAAATTTTTTCTAATTTTTCTCCACTGGGTTCCTTCGAACCTAGCGCCTGGGTTCCAACAAACCCAAGAATTAGTCATCTCAACCAATCTCTTACCTTGCTAGTTTCTTCATCATCATCATCAAACAAAACCCACAAACAAAAAAAAAGAAATTTTTTCTAATTTTTTGCCATTGGTTCGATGGAACCCAGTCACTAGGTTCCTTTGAACCCTCGATTGGGTTTGAAGGAACCCAGTGCGTGGGTTCCATCAAACCCAGCACCCAGGTTCTGTGGGTTCCATCGAACCTAGGCATGCTCCAGTGCCTGGGTTTGAAGGAACCCAATGCCTGGGTTTCAAAGAACCCAGGCGTGGGTTTGATCAATCTGTTCCGAGGCAGAGAGAAAACAAGAGAGAAGAAGAAAAATATAAGAAAGAATTTTTATTTTTTTATCATATTATTATTTTTTTCCATGTTATTATTTTGTTGTCATGTTGTACTTCCACGTGTTTTAAAAATTGACATGTCTTCATGTAACAGTAAATTAACATAACACATAACGAGAATTTTAACTAAAGGACCAAATTGAGATTAAAATGGTAAACAGTAAGAACTAAATTAGGAATTTTTTTAGTTTAGAAACCAAATTAGAAGTCTGTACAATAGTTCAGGGATCAAAATAAAGTTTTAACTTTAATTTAAAGATTTTTTTATGTTGTGTCATAAGCACACATAATAAAAGTGTATTTATTATATATTTTTTTATCATTAATCATACATTAATTTACATAAAAAAATTAATATTAATTTTAATTTAATATTAATAAAAATTTAATATTTTAACTATTACATCAAAAAATATTATAAATATAAAAAAATTTCTTGATACATTTATAATAACTTTTATTAAACTATTTTTAATTATCTAAGATTACAAATTATACATTTACTAAATAATAAAAAAAATTAATTAACATATCATAAAAAAAATTTTCCCAAAAATTTTCATCAAATTTTCTTCAACCTTGTCGGTGACGGTGGAGAAAATGAAAACAGTTGTATTAAACACAACGTAACAAAGCTATGGTGATGCCGGCACACAACTTTGATTAATATTTTACAAATTTAGTTATTAAGTAAAATTAATAATGAAACATCAAATTTTAAAAATAATTAAAACTTCTAATGTTTATTATTTAACAAATTAAAATGAAAATATAAACATATATTTTTAAACATTACAATTAATAAAAATTATATATTAATAAAATATTAATTAAAATTATGTGATACGTACTTACATTTTTGATCCAATAACATCAAACCACATATAAATACATTTTTTTTTTTCAAGACAACGATTCAAATTTCAACCTTTTGTAAATTTGTTCAAAAAATAAAAAATAAAATTCTGTGATACTCAGTTACTCACATAAATATGTGTTGCCATAACCACCGCTCATCACCAAAGCTTGGAAGATCCCAATTGCCAAGTCCCAACAATATCATGTGAAGTAGGGTCCGTTTCCACAAAACCATTAATTGCTTTAATGGCCCCATGTCCCCATCCACCGTTAAGTTTGAGAAAAAAATACATATATAAATATAAATTTTATT